GGCTTTCCGTGTTTTCACTGTTATACACTCGGGGGCACTATTACGCATCTTCTGAACGAGTACAGAACCTCCCGAACAAACATGAACAGGACGGAGAAACTAGCGATCTCTTACGTAAACAGATGCATATGAAAAATAATGCAATCATCAGCAATAGACAGCATATAAATGAAAACGGCATAATGTTACGGAGTAAAATGTTGATCCGGGGAGTGGTATATGTCTGTGCAAGCTTTGGAGGTGTTGATGGATGCGATTTGACGGAGAAACTAGCGATCTCTTACGTAAACAGATGCATATGAAAAATAATGCAATCATCAGCAATAGACAGCATATAAATGAAACTGCATAATGTTACAGAGTAAAATGTTGATCCAGGAAGTGGTATATGTCTGTGCAAGCTTTGGAGGTATTGATGGAAGCGATTTACTGGATTTATGCTTTGATAATCGTACTGAATATTATCCAGATAAAAGTAAAAAATTTATTTTCTCACCTTTTTGCTCTAAATAATGCATTTTTTATGAAACCTACCTATCTTCAAGTGTTGATAAAAAAAGAATGCTTTAAGCTAGAATAAAACTGATTTTTTTTTATTTTTTTTAAATAGAGGCTCTGATCTTTATTTTGGTGTATTGCATATTGAAATATTCAAACATCAAAATACACTGGAGGCCATCAAATTTGAGTGAAAATCATAAAAATCACTGGCAACTGTTTTCAAAAATGCTGGCGGGGAAAGAGTTAATGATAATGATGAATTTTTGTGACATTTAAGATGATATTGGTATGCTTACTGCACATTTGCTGTCCCTGTGTTTATTTTTTATAAATTGCTTTTATTTGTCCACATTTCAAAGTCACTTTGGATAGTTGTCTGCTAAATGGATCAATATAATGTAGTAAATGAATCTCTCCCTCCCTCTACTGGTGATAGGAGGAACTCCAACTTATTTTTTCTTTTCTACGCACTTTAGATCATTTGTTTACAAACAGTATGAGCACTATTTCCGTTTATTAATTTAGTAGACACTTTTATCCCAAATGACTTCACATGAGAATACAAAAACAAGCATTTAAGACAACTAGGTGCTTAATCTGAGAAACTCAAACTTGATGTAAAAACAGTTTGTAATCTCTGGCACCTTTCTTCACTTCAAGTGTGGCTGCCCAGCTCAGAGAAAACGGCACTGTCACAGAGGCTTTCGAGGAGGTCATAGAGGTTCCCGTGGGGACCAAACTGTCCCGTCAAGATGGAGATGGAGAGGAGGTGGAAAATGAAGAAGAGGAGAAGAAAAAGGTTCCCTTATTGGCTTTCAGAGAGAACGGCAGCATGCATAATGTGAGTGGACTGGAGGAAAACCCGGCATAGTGAAGTTCAGGTCAGTCAGTCCGGACACAACGTGGATTTGGGGTGACATGCGATGGCCCCTTTACCTTATTTAGCTGTATAGATGTATGAACATTTATAATGGTGGAAATGCAACATGCAACACAGGAATGAAAGAAAACCGAGTCGGAGGGAGACCCCCTCAATGCACTTTCCTTCATTTGACACTTAGACACCTAAAATGGCAAAGAGAAATTACGAAATTAAGATCTCTTGGCTTCTACTTCCTGTAATCAGCTCCTGTCTCCTCAAACTGAAGTGGTGCGCCTTAGGAACCACATCTTCTGTCTTTCTTCTAATACTTGAAGAAAAGTGTCGTTGCTGTCGTGGAAGCTCCTGTGAAGTGCTAACCATAAGGAATGTGTGACAAGAGAATGATGTTTGTTTTGTTTGTGAGTGGCTGAACTCCCTGCTTAGTTTTATAATTATTGTTCAAATGAAGAGAACATATTTTCTTCCCTCTTTGCAAAGCTTGAACAGATTTTTGCCACTTGAATTATGATTTTTGATATGGTTTGCAAAGACCTCATCTCACTCCACCCCAATGTACGGCTCTCTCTACGCAGTCTGAGCGAAGCAAAACTGTCATCCTAAATTTTAATTTTAATTTTCTGATATGACTGGGTGAATCGGACTTGCTCAGGAACATATCCATGATATGTTTAACTCAAAATTAAATGGAAAAAAATATTAGCGTTTAAATTAAGCACACCCTTTCATTTCTTATTACAGTAATTATGGGAAAAATTATTATATATTATGTAAAGTGTGAAGTATGTACATTGTGTAAACAGTTGTTCTACTGCCTATAATTAATGCTGATTCAAATAAAACATTTTATTACCTTTTTTCCATTAGATTTTGGGATGAAATGTGACCTGGATGTGTTTTTGTGAGATTCACCCTGCTGTTGTTTTTCAGTAGCATTAATCACACACATCCGAAAGCAACTTGTACTATAGAAACTTATGCTGTTATATTCATTATATGAAATATAACGTCTATTTCATCGGTAGAACCCATACAAGCTAATAGTTAAAAATCCTTCAAAAGTAATCAAAACGAAGTAAAAAACGAGCAGAATCTCTTTAAATTGCAATGCTGCTACCTATGTCTTTCCTTTGCCTTATCAGATGACGTGAAGTTTTGAGGATTTGTTTATAGAGCTGTTGTTAAAGGGCTGATTTGTTTTTTTGTTTTTGAAAAATCCTGTTCATCCATAAGCTCGTAACACATGCTGTCGGCCCTGTGAGTCCTGCTGCATCATATAGCCCTTTCAGACACCACCATCAATAGTTAATAGGGCTAATGGAAAACCAAGTATCCTATATAGGACATATTATAAAGCGATTTATAAGACTATCTCAGTTTGTTTTTGTTGAAGTCAGTATCAGTGGATGGTCAGTGGACACCATGCAAAAAAAGAAGCAGGGATCAATTACATACCTTGAAACCAAGAAATTGTAAACCTTGATATGCAAACGCTAAAATAGTATGCATAAATGTTGCACAAAATCTGTTTGTAAGAGGGTGGGTGAAGGTTTAAAACAAGCACAACTTGTTTACTGAGACGTCAGGGACCGAATTCTCAGTGAAGAAAGAGCACTTCTGATAAAGCACCCATGCGCCCTTGACCTAACCAACAGCACTGAGTACCACTTTAAAAATCTGAAGCATTTTCTCCCAACCGAGTCAATCTATATGCATGTACAAATGATGAAAATCAATAAACTTTTAATCTGGAAACGACAAAGGCTTCTTTGTGCATGTGTCTGTGTCAAATGAAGTTGTCACAGTAAATTACTGCTGTGGTTGTGCGATTTTTGACATTTTGCTGGCCTAGATTAAACTTTTGCATGTGAAACGATTTGATGTTTAGATTCAGCCGTGGTTTATATGGTGCCAATGTGAAGCTGACATCTTTTTTTTCTTTTCTTTCCTGAGGTTTAGATGTTTAAGAAAACCATGCAACATGCATTCATTTTCTTTCGAACAGGGATCTCGAAATTTTCAGTGGTTTTCAACAGCATGCCACAGATTCTGTCAATCAAGCTTTTATTTAATGTGCAATATTTCTTTGAGGTCATTTAGGGAACTAAATTATGTCTGTATTTTTCCAGGTAACTATGGAGAAGTATGTTTGCCTTGTAGAAGGTTCATGCTTACCTAAAAATGAATCACAATCATTTTGAATGTTTAATCAATTATATGATCTACTAATAATTATTGAAGATGTATGGTATAATCTACCATTTAAATGTTATTTTAATGTTTTTGAGAGAAGTCTTATAAAGGCTGAATTTATTTAATAAAAATATACAGTAAAAACAGCAATATTGTGAAATAATATTACAATTTAAAATAACTGTTTTCTGTTTAAATATATTTTAAAATGTAATTTATTCCCATGATGCAAAGCTCATTTTTCAGCATCATTACTCCAGTCTTCAGTGTAATGTTATTCTTCAGAAATCATTCTAATATGCTGATATCAATGTTGAAAACGGTTGTGCTGCTTAATATTTTTGTGGAAACGGTAGGGATGCTCCGATCGATCGGCCGGAGATCGGTATCGGCCAATAATCATATTTTATGACTCGGTACTCACCAACTTGGCCGATCTCAGGAACCGATCGCAATTTGATGACGTCAACGCGTGACTATGTACATGATGTGTGGGGACATAAATGATTTGGCGCCGCAGTCATCGCCGGTGTGGAAATGCTATGACGTTTCGAGAAACAATGAAAAATTTGCTGTTTGTCGTGTATGTTTTGCTTGATGATATGATGAATAGATGGTTCATTGTTAACAGCAGATTCCACCTGAGCTGATCGTGGCTGCTCTAGTCAGTGCTTGTGTTTATCAGCCAGCCGCAGCACGTTTCTGAAGCGGCTCTCCGCGCTGCTTGGTTAAAAATAGTCTTTTGTGAGTTGTCACAGCGTGGAGGACGGAACAAAAACAGGTTTCCCCAGTAACAGCTGTACACAAAGCAGCGCTGAGCTCACAAACGCTGCTTTATCAGGCATATAACATGCAAGATGAAATGAAAATGACATCGAAAATTTTC